AAAGACTGCTGTCGTCTGGCTGTGATGGCCGAGTGGTTAAGGCGTTGGACTTGAAATCCAATGGGCATTGCCCGCGTAGGTTCGAATCCTGCTCACAGCGTTCTCCTTTTATTTGATGATAAAAATATGAAATCCTTATTTGATTGCATGAAGAACTTAAGTGAAGCCGGTGCAAGATGTAAAGAAAAATTCTCTTTGACTCCAGTTCCTTCTGAGAATGGCCTACCGTGAAAACCTTGTTCTTTTTAGAAGTCTTTTGTTTTCTTACTTAGCTGTAAATTATTATTTAAATATTAGACGCTGATGTCAGAATAAACGGACATGTTTTTTCATTGCTCAAAGAAAGCGACTTCGTATTCCAAAAAAAGGGTCTTTAATTATCTAGTTTTTATTCTTATATTTTTCTTTGTTTATTATATTATAATTTTGTTATTTTATTAGGTATTTACAATATTTCTTTATTGAAATACGTATTTTTTAAATCGATGTAGACATCGATTGTTTTTTGTTTTATTTTTTAAAATAAGTGTTTTCGCAAGTTTATATACTTTCATAAGACTGTCTATTATCACTTGAAATTGTTATATTAAGAACATGCAAATAATGCATTGTATTTGTTAAATTACTTATACACTAGCATGAATAATTCTATATTTATATTTAAGCGCAATATTTCTTTTTTTTTTATGAAAGAGGACATAATTCATAAAATTGTACGTAATATATTTAAGTTGTAATAATTGTTTTGTTTATCAGTGACTATTGGTTCAGTATCGTCGATTTCTTTACCTATCATTTGTTATTAAAAAAAATGTTAAGAACATTTGCCAATAATTTTATTCTGTTATCCTTTTCTTAATTATTGATTGTAGCAAGGTAATATTTTTTATGGACGATGACGTACTTTCTAATTTGTAAGAAAAGCGTTTCGAATCGTAACGCCTGTAAAGAATTCGTATGGGTATCATTGTACGCTATGACCTTCTTCAGGTGATATACATTGGAATTTCGAACCGAAATCTTTATTTCTTCCACCAGGGTAGATTTTTCTAGTTCCACGTGCCATGCCTTTTCTGGATATCT